GGGAAAACAATTTCAGAGTTAATTAAATTAAATAGATATAGGTCTACATAAAGACGTTTCTTTATTTGTAATAGCCCACAAGTGGAAACAACCCAAATGTTCAGCTGGTGAATAGATTCATTGAATTATATCCACACGATGCCAGAGTACTCAATACACAAGATTAATTTCCTGATAACACACAACTGAATTAATCTCAGAAACATTAAGGGAAAAGAAGTCACACACCAAAGAGAACAAACACACTGAATGGTTCTACTTTACATGATGTTTAGGAAAGGCAAAACTAAATGGATTTAAAAAGAAAAAAAAGTTCAATAAAAAAGAAACCCCGAAAAAATACTGTTTTTTTTTTTAAAAAAATTAATGAGTTATTGATGGACATTTATTTATTTATTTATTTATGTGTGCTGATAATTGAACCCACTGCCTCACACATGCCAGGCAACCGCTCACCACTGAGCCACAACCCCAGCCCCAAGAACTGTTTTCTTGACGTGTCTTTTTTTCTCAGCACACGTTTGCAGATTCGTGTGAATGATCTGCTTATGGCCCTCAAAGCAGGAAATCCTGGGAGAGAGAGAAGCATTATTTTTTCAGGCCTGCAGTCAATGGTGAGACCGGTGATTTGCAAGGGAGATACTGCCCTCTAGGGGTTGTTATTGGATATTGCTAGGGACATTTTTAATTGTCAATTCCCTACTGCAATTTAGGGGGTTGGGGGCTAGGCATATTATCTGGCATGCAGTGCGATAGACTGTCCTAGAAGAAGTACCGACTTGTTTCCTCAAACTTGTAGGTGAGAAGCCCATTTATAATTTTATGAGCCCAGAATGAAGGCTGTTTTGCAAACATTTTTTCTTTCCACCTGAATTTTCCTGGAATGAAACTGTTGTGTAAGTCACGGTCTGGTAATACAGTTTTGGTTAGAACATCACCGAACCTCTTCAGACTTTTTGAAAATCGGATCAGGAAGCAACACTGTGGGCAGTATCTGGGTCACTCCTTACCCCTGGCTGAAGCTGGCTTTGAACTCACAATCTTCCTGCCTCAGCCTCCCAAGCCTCTGGGATTACAGGTACCAGAAGTGGTGTCAGCAACTGGGACTGATAAGATGAGATTCCTGAAGGGTATTGATATCATAACGTAATTATGATCTCATGGGCCACGGGAGATAGGTCACTGGTCACCTATGGTATGTGGTGGCACCACATTTATTTGAATCACCACTTGCAGTGGCTTGGCTGGATGTACTCAATGGAGGCCAGGTCCTGGAAGAGCAGGTGGCTGCTGCTGTATTTTACTTTGGGAAGGATCGATGACTGCGGGGACTGTGGGGTGACCGGGGATTTCTGACAGCGCTCAAGAGCTGACAGAAGGAAAGTGACAACACAGGGTTTTCAATTCCCAGCCAGAGTCAGGTTCAGAGAAGATAACAGAGGTCGATGTGGTCCTCGGAGAACCTCTAATTTCTTGTAGCTGCAGGAAAGAGGGGCTGAAAATCAGACCCTCAATTTCCATATTCACGCTGTGGAATTCTGTTGGTCCAATTCAATGGTTTATGTGAAAATTAGGGCTTTGATTGGGAAGAAATAGTATCTTGCAGCTTGGCAAGGGGTCATTTGGGTGGACTTGAAACAGTTGGCTTGTATGATAGATGTACGTTTCACTTGCCCAGTTATTTCCAGAGACGCTGGACCATTTTACATCCCTAGCAGAGGTGTGTGAGAGTTGCAGCTGTCAAAACTCATACCTCATCAACATTTGGTCAGTCATTTTAGTTTGTTTTTGTGGTGCTGCAGGTTGAACCCAGGGCCTCGTGCATGCTAAGCAAGTGCTCTACCACTGAGCTGCCTTCCTAGCCCTTCATTTTAATTTAGACACTCTAATTAATGTGTATAGTGGTATTTTATTGTGGTCTTAATTTGCATTCTTTAATAACTAATGCTTTTTGTGCATTTATTTGCCATGGTGTGTGTCTTTCTATTGGTGAACTGTCTGTTCAAATCTATTGCTCTTTTTTGTTAATGGATTGTGTGGTTTCTTTTTATTGGGTTTCGAGAACTCTACATATTCTGGATAAAAATCTTTAATAAGACATTCATGTAAAAAATTTTTTTTAGTTGTAGATGGATACAATATCTTTATTTATTTTTTAATGTGGTGCTGAGGATTGAACCCAGTGCCTTGTACATGTGAGGCAAGCGTTCAACCACCGAGCTACAGCCGCAGCCCATGACATTCATTTTTAAATATTTTCTTTTCTAGGTCTTTATGACTGATTTAGTTTTCTCAATTTTTCTGGCCTTGCATTAATTAAGGCACTTAATGTTCATAACTTTTATTTGTTAAAAAACTTTTTTGTCATATACTGAGAAGATAAAAGAATGTTTCAAAAACATATGAAATTCAGGAGGCTGAGACAGGAGGATCGCGAGTTCAAAGCCAGCCTCAGTAATGGCAAGGTGCTAAGCAACTCAGTGAAACCCTGTCTCTAAATAAAAATACAAAATAGAGCTGGGGATGTGGCTCAGTAGCAAAGTATCCCTGGGTTCAATCCTTGGTACAACCCCAAATATATTAAATTATAAAATGGGTGCATTAGTGCATGCCTATAATCCCAGTGACTCAGGAGGCTGAAATAGGAAGATTGCAAATTCAATGCCAGCTTGAGCAACTTGGTAAGTCCATAAGCAACTTAGTGATATCCTGTCTCACAATAAAAATTAAAAAAAAATTAAAAAGGGCTAGGAATGTGACTTAGTGGCAAAGGACCCCTAGGTTCAATGCCTTGTGAGAGAGAGAAAGAGAGAGAGAGAGAGAGAGAGAGAGAGAGAGAGAGGGGAAGAATTTGAAAATATAAAAAGAATAAGACAACAAACACCTCAGTATCTACCAACAATTAAAAAAAAAGTCACATTACCCCACTCTGTTCCTTTAGAGGTAACTACTAATCTCAATTTGTGTTTATTATCATCTTAGCTTATTGATAGTTTTATTACTTGTGTTTATAGCCCTAATAAAATTTTGATTATATGTGCACAGTGTTGAACAAGTAAGTATGGGACAAATTTTGTTGGAATTTCATTGAATTTAGGAACAATAAATATAAAATTGAGTTCTTTATTGAGACTCAGTTCATGAACATAGTTCTGTCTGTTAATTTAGGCTTTCTATATTCTTCCTTCCTTTCTTTATCTCTCCCTCTCTTCCTTTTCTTTCCTTTCTTTTCTTTCTTTTTGAGACAGGGTCTCACTATGTTGCCTATGTCATTGACTGTGAGCTTGAGATCCTCCTGCCTCGGCCTCCTGGGTGGCTGGGATTGCAGGGCGATGACACTGCACCTGGCTTCACTGAACTTCTTGAGTCTGTGGATTGATGTTTTTCAATAATTTTGGAAAATTTACAGTTATTATCTTTTAAGATTTTGTATTCTTCCTTATTCCCTTCTTCTCTTATGGTACTCCACTTAGGCGCACAGTAGGCTATTTGATATTGTTCCAGCCTCTTGTGCTTTGTTATGTTTACTTTGCATTCTTTCTTTTCTCTCTGGGGTTTGAGTTGTGTATCGTCTATTAATCTACTTTGAGTTCACTTATTCTTTCTTCTATGCACTCGGTCTGCTGTGAAGCACATCTAGTGTATTATTCTTGATTTTAGATCATATATTTTTTTGGTTTAAAATGCTCAATTTATTCTTAGAGATTCCACTTGAGGGACTGCTATGTGATGATCTGCAACGGATCCTATCAAGTGTTCATGTCTTTGGACCCTGGGTCATGTGACTTGCTTTGGCCAATGAGACTCCAGCAAATAATACAAACAGAAGATTGACAGATGCTGTGTATTGGGCCTTCCCCTCTTGGAACTAGCCTCTGCATAAGAAGGCAAAGTAACTTCCTTGAGATGGAGAGGCCTGGTGGAGAGAGATGTAGTAGTCACATGAGTGACCCCATGTGAGAAAATCAGAAGAAACATTCATTCAACCCACAGAACTGTGAGAAATAATAAAAAGTTGTATTTTAATCTACTAAATTTTAGAATGGCTTTGTGATATGGCAGTAGAAAACAGATACCTTCTTATATATTAGTTTTAATTTTCCATCCTATCATCTTTCTTATTTATTTTGATGCCACATCCCCAACCTTATTTTGCATTTCATTTAGAGACAAGTCTCACAGAGTTGCTTAGTGCCTCACTTTTGCTGAAGCTGCTTTTGAACTTACAATCTTCCTGCCTCAGTGTCCCAAGCCACCGGGATTACAGGCATGTGCCTCTGTGCCTGTCCCTATCATCTTTTTAAAAATAATCTTTTCTTCTGAATTCTTTAGTATATTTATGATAGCTATTTTAAAGTTGTTAATGTACTGTTTTTGAGTCTGCTTCTATTTGATTATTTTTATTTTTGATTGTGGGTCATATTTTTTTCTGCTTCTGTGAATGTCTTATAATTTTAAATTGTACGGATGCCAGAAATTGTATTTAAAAGAACTAGAATAGATATTATTTATCTTTTCTAGTTAGGGACTAGAATAAATATTATTTTTCCCTCAGGGAGAACATTCTCCTTCTTTAGGCGGTTGAATCTGGTTGTTAATATGCTTCAGCAAATCAAGAACATAAAGTGTACTTATTTTTTGTTCAATGAAAGTTTTGAGATTTCAAACTAATGATTCACTATACAAGGATGAGGGTACCGGGATGAAAAAATGCAACCAAGGACAGTGTGAGAACAGAATTAGTACTGAGTTAATTTCTGAAAAGAAACATCCTTCTATCTTAAGCTTTCTACCTTAGAAAATTCTAGAAGAGCACCCAAATACATCTTTTGTTAGCTGCCAGAACAATTATGCCACCCTATCTTGTAGATTCCAGAAAATTCCACCGAGCTTTGGTGAGAGAGTGAGTGTCGTGTTATGAAAGTAGTTTTGACTTCTCGAACCACCTGTGCGGGGCTCTCCTGCGGGTCCTGGGGTACACCAACAGGCGAACACGGGGGTCAGCCACAGATGTTTATTGACAAAGGGCTCAAGAATCCCCCCCGGCTCAAATCTAGGGTGACTTCATGGGCCTTTTCCTGGCTCCAGGCTGCAGGGCACTCACAGCAGCCATGGCTTGTTCTTGGGCTGGAACTTGGGCTTCACACAGCACATTTTGCCGTTTGTGCAGTAAACATAGACCTTCTCCTTCCTGGAGCACCTCTGGCGGCATTTGCCATGAAGGTTCCAGCACCTCAAGGCGTCACCTGAAACGCAGGAGAGAGGGGAGGAGTTTTGGGTTTTAGGGTGAGGAAAGGGAATCCCTCGTGGTCTCACCAGGGTGGAGTAATAGAGGAACAGAAACTCAAGTTCAAGGAGGTTAACTCCACTGGAATCTGTGGGGCATGGGATTAGAGAGGAGGGAAAGAGAGAGAGAGAGAGAGAGAGAAAGAGAGGAGGGGTGAGCAGGAGCGTGGGGGAGCCCCCAGTCTTGGGAGTAGTTATCAGGTTTGAAGAAACTACCAAAGGCCAGTGAAAGAGCCACGAAAGGAAGTAGGAGAACAATCCCCGTGACTTTGAGGGTCTGGGAATGTTCTGTGTGCCCACCTCCCTGAGGGGAAAGGCCCAGAGGGTTTTGCCAAATTAGCCCTAGGCCAAAGGAGGTCCCTGAAAAAGCTTAACAGTCAGTTCTAAGATTGTCCATCTGATTACTAGAGACCTAAGTGCACGGCAGAACATGATCCAGCACTCTTTAAAGGAATATAACTAAATACAGCAACCAAGACTGTGAATTTGACAGGGTATAGAGCCTCCAGCAGAGTTTCCAGGCAAAACAACAACAACAACAACAACAACAACAAAGTCAGGAAAATATGACCCATAACCAGGAGAAAATCAATCCACTGATCCAGAAATAACAAAGATGATGAAACTAGCAGATGGACATTTTAAATATGCTCCACAGGCTAAAAAAGGTACAGGGAGAACATGGGCATGATGAGAAGAAATAAAGGTGTAAAAATATCCATACAGAAATTCTTGCAATGAAACATTAGTGAACAAAGAGCTCATTTTGTGAGATTAAGGGCAGATTAGACTCAAGAAGGAAAGATGGATGAAGGTGAAGACATAGCAACAAAAACTACCAACATGAAACACGGAGGGGGAGCCAGGGCGGAGAGGGAGGGAGAGAGAGCGCAGATGTAATGAGCAGATTAGCCTACCTCCAGCCGGAGCCCCAGAGGAGAAGAGAAGGGAGAGAACGAAACAGCACTTGAAGGAATAATGGCTGTTAGAGTCTGTAAACAAGTCAGGATGGCACCTGGCATTTTGCCAGGGGAATGTTAGAGTTCCTAAACAAGTCTGGATGGTGCCTGGCAAAATGCCAGAGGGAGTGGTTTGAGAAGTAACAAAAGCGAGCCATTAAGTGTGGAGATTCCTTATTGGTTGACTGATGTATCGAGTTTATGCTAATTAAGATAAGCTGTGCAAAATGTATAAATACCTCTGTTGTCCTACAATAAACGGCTCCTACTCCTGCTGTTATTACACAAGTTATTCATCACCCCCGTTATTTTGCTGCAGGGGGACTGTGGCAAATGGCAAAGAAGTTTACAACAGTCAATGCACAGAAGCAAGAGCCTCAGTGAATTCCAAGCAGAATAAAACCTGAAGAGAAGCAGGCAGAGGCATGTCATAGCAAATCCTAAAATCATGCTAAAGAAAAAAAAAATCTGAGAGGGCCACAGGACACATGAAATACACAAGGAAAATGATGATAATAACAGAAGTCCATCAAAAACTGCACACTCTCAGAAGACAAAAGAGAGAGGCTTTTAAAGTAACGAAAGGAAACAAATTCAACCCAGGCCAGGTGTGTGTGTGTGTG